TTCTGTGGCTGTTTTGGGGGGTTTCCCCCCCCGGGGGGGGGGGGGGGGGGGGGGGGGCGAGGGACGCTTGGTCATTCTTCTTGCTTATTGGGTTGTAGGCGGCAACTGGGCTCTAGTGTTGTTGTCCTCCTCCCTCCCTTGCCTCCTCCTGCCGCTTCGGCCGTGAGCCTCCTATAGGATTGGTTTGTCGGCGTCGTCTGTTAGTAGAAGCTAGCTCCGTGATTAGAGCAGCGGTCGTCTCTTGTCCGATTTGAGGTTGGACGTGGTTGTCGCGACCGTGTTGGCATTTCTCGAGAGAGCAGGGTGCTCGGCGTTCGTGCCTGCACCCTGCGATACGGACGAAGCCTCACTATCTCCATCCCAAGGCAAACACGATGACAGGCACAGCTACAACAAGGCACACGATGCCACCAAACTGCTGACCGCTGCGTGCCCCCCCCTCCCCCCCCCCTGCTGCCTCCACCCTGAACAGAGTCGGGCGAAGAAGGCGACGAGGAAGAAGAGAGTTCGCCGCAGGTATCCGAAGAGGAGGCCGAACCAAGCACGGCGAAAACCCCGCCCTCGAAAGGAAAGGGGGCCAAGTCCACCCCCGCCCCGAAGGCGAAAGCAACTACCACTGCCAACACAGCAGCGGCGTCGGTCTCCAAGTCTAAGAAGTCCAAGCCCAAGCCCGGTACCAAGAAACCCCCAGGCCCCGGCGCTAAGAAACGCCAACGCTCTTCCGTCGGGAAGGCCGACAGCGGCGGCTGTGGCAGTCTCGGCGGCGGAGGCGGAGGCGTCTCCGCTACGCCTGCGTGGATGCGGCAGCGGTGGGTGCAGGTCGGCAAGACCGACGCCGAGGCTAACGTTCCGGTGACGCCTAGCCCGGTGACGGACGCCGACTTCGACGAGATGGTTCGGTCCTGCGTGAGGAACGACGCCATGGAGAAGGTCAAGACGAAGAGAGCGGCTCTTGCGAAACGCCTCCAGGTGCGACTTTGGTTCTTTCTGTGTGCAACAGCGAGAGTGGTTGGAGTAGAAGTCGTGGAGGTAGAAGGAGGAGCAGTAGGAGTTGGAGTTGAGGTAGTGGTGGTCGGTGGTGGTGGTAGAAGCGGTAGAAGAAGTAGAGAAGTGGTAGAAGTTAAAATGCGTAGTGGTAGAAGCAGGAGTAGGAGCAAACTATGCGTACAGGCGTTTCGCTGGTGCCTCTCTGTGTGCTTTTTGTGCTCATTGGCTAGTGCGGCGGGGCGGTTGCGATGCCCTGGTATGGGCGGAAGGCGTACGCATCTTCCGCGCCGCCCCCAACTTCCACAAATCGCGAGTTGCCCTCATGACAAATGTAACGACTACAGAGAGAGCACGATGGGCATGAGCGGGGGGTAAAATTGTATCGGGTCGATGTACACTATTAATACGAAGGTCAACACGCCCTGTCTCGTACACACAAAGAGATGTAAATCCCGGTTTGTCCAAAACAACCGCGCGCACAATCAATCCTTCAATGTTTTTGTTTTTTTGTTTTGTTTTTCCCTCTCAAACCGTGCGTCGGGCGAATGAATACGAAGGCCATCACCGGGGGGAAGGAGAGGCAGGACGTGCTCGGACAAGCGCTGAGAGAAAAGAACAGGCACTGGGACTTCCTGCTGAAGGAGATGATGTGGATGGCCGATGACTTCCAGCAAGAGCGAAAGCGACACATGGTGCGCATGCGTGCTGTTTTCTTGAAAAGTTTGCGGCTTGTGAATGTGTAGGCGGCGAGGGCAAGTGTTTTGCCTTGAGTGGCGAAAGATACCGCACGCACTAGATCGGTTTGGAAAGCCTACTTTGCAGCGAAGTACGCAAAAGTGGTGGAAATGGCGGCGTTAGAACCTGCTTGGCGAGGACTTTCCGACAAGCTATCACCTGATGTGTGGCAGCCTCTTCATCGTGGAGTAACCGAGCTGCGAACATTGGCCCTGCAGTCGCTCTGCACCAACATCCGCGGAAACAAAATCGCCAACAGCACACACGCCCCAATCGTAATCGCCTGGAACAACAACGACAACAGTTCAGTGTGGCGACCACTAACACCACCCTGCTGTCTGCCGCATGACCCCCGACTATGCACTCTGTTCCTGCAGAGCGCACGCAAGAAGCAGGCTAGGTCAGTGCTGCTGCACTTCCGCGGCCACGAGGCTCGCAAGGCAAAGAAGGCTAAGGAGGAGCAGCTGGCCCTTAGGAGGGGAGCGTCCAAGGTTGCTAGGGATGTTCGGGCGTTCTGGGGGAAGCTGAACAAGGTATTGTAACGCGAAAGTGCTCACGATTCCCCTGCGTTCGGTGTTGGTACATGTGTACCCACAAATCGATCCGGGGGGGGAGGGGCTGTGGTCGCGAAGTAATTTTGGAGGTGATCTGCTGCTTGTAGTCCATCGCGTAGGCACTTGCGATATCACGGCGCGCTGGAAGACCATTCCAATGTTTATTTCTCCCTAGAAGTTCCTGTCGGCTGTATGGATGGACGCAAGAGCCTATTCCAGCCTTCAGCTGAAAGGTCGATGCCCGGCTTTTTCTTGGCGTGTATGTTGTTGTGTTGTTGACAATACGGTTCTGTTTGTTTTGCGGTGGTGCGTGCGTGTTGCCAGGTCATCGCGTACAAGCAGCGCCTGGAGGCGGACGAGTGCAGGCGGAAGGCCATGGACAAGCACCTCGTTTTCCTCGTCAAGCAGACGGAACGTTACAGGTGCCGACCCGCCCCACCCCGCAGTTTGTGCCTTGTGTTGTGCGTCCCTCGCGGCCGTTCATGTGCGCTCAATTGAGTGGGCACGGAGTATTCGTGGTGTGTGCTAGTAGGCTACTACTGTATGTGGCAAAATCATCATGGCGTGCGCTGGTTTTTCTTGCGGCATCACCCCCCCCCCCACCCCCCCGGTGTTGGAATCTCGTTCTACAGCTCAATGGTGGTCGAAACCCCACGCCTACCCGGAATCGGAGAGGACGGCGAGGAGGAGGAGAGCAGCAGCGGTAGCGGCAGCGGCCGCGGCGACGATAGCAGCAGCGGTGAAGACGGTACGAGCTCCGAGGATGACGACGGCGCCAACGGTGCCAAGGAAGTCGAAGCCGGAGGAAGGTGTGGTGCGGGGGTAGATTCGTGATATGTACTCAACGGGGGTTCCCAGTGGACACCCTCCGACAACTCCCTCTGTGAAGCCCCCTCGAACGTTGCTGGGTTTGCTCTTGCGTTTGTTCTTGATCGGTGATGGTGTTGGCGGTAGCAGGAGTACTGTCGTTGTTCAGCAGCAGCCGTGAACCAGGCTTCCGAGAATTTTGCACCCCCTACGTACCCGACCACGTTTATCCCGAACCCCCCTTCCTTCCACCCCCGCCCCCCCCCCTTCACGGCCCTTTGTAGCCCACTCGACGGTCCGTCGGGGGATGTCAGCAGTGACCCCATGGATTCAGACGAAGACGCCTTCAGCGACGACTCCGGGGCGTACATGGAGGATATAATGATGCTGAGAGCCGACCAAAAAGAGTCGGAGGTGTCGCAAGGCCTTGGGGGAGGCGGGGCCGGCAGCGGCGGAGGCGGGGGCGGCGCTAGCAGCATGGAAGAGGTGGAAGAGGAAGAAGAGGACGGGGAGCAGGAGGAGGAGTTCAGTGAGCCGGGAGAGGATACCCTCGTGGACGACGAAACGACCCTGGCCGAGGTAGGTCTGTGGAGGGCCGCCGACCGGCCAACCCCGACCGGCCGACCACGTTCCGTGATGGCCTGCTGGGAGTGCCTTGTTTATCGATGACGGTAGCAGTACTAGTGGTTCGTGGCGACAGAGAGCAGCTCCGCTATTATAGTCGGCGTGTATTTTCTCTTTTGTCTGTCGGCCACGGTATTTGTACCAATGCGGGACGATCGAACACACGCCGAGATCGTAAGTTGTTTTTGAAGTATCGACTTTGGTTTTGCCCTCATCGCCGCTACTGCCTTCTTTTGGGCCGCGGCGTCGTTGGTTCAGGAGTTGGCATGAAGGCGCCACCGTGTTCTTTGGGTAAAGCGGTTTAAATTGCGGCGACCTGCTGCTTTCCCTCGATGGGAGGCAACGTCGTCGCCGTCGCCGCCGCCACCGGTGCTCTCTTGTTCGGCGCCATGTTGAATGTTTCTGTCGTTCGCTTGTTGCCATGCCCCCCGCTGCTGCCACGGCACCGCCGCCGCTCTGCGCAACGGCAGGAGGAGCGACGAGCTGCCCTGGACGCCAGACAAGGCCGTAGCGATGACGGAAAGGACAGCGACAGGGGCGATGTCTCCGGGGGGGGAGGGGTGGCGGGCGCGGCCCTGGCGGAGCTCCGAGCCCTCCAGGAGGACGTTGAACTCCCGGTGGCGGCAGTCGTCGACAAGCTGTACCCGGCGACGCAGCTGGCACCGCCGCCGCCGCCGACGCAGAGTCAGCAGCCATCGGCTGCCGCCGATGGGGTTCCAAGTCAGGCGCAGGCGGCGGGGGCATCGGATGCGGTTCCAGCTTTGGCATCACAACGACAAGTGGGGAGGAAGGGGGACACCGCCACGGAGAACGAGGCTACACAGAAGCAGCAGCAGCAGCAGCAGCAGCAGCAGCAGCAGCAGCAGCAGCCGGTGGCGAACGGCCACGGCGGTGCCTCTTCCTCTGCCGCGACCAACGGACCGGCAAGAGGCGACGCGGCGGTCGTTGGCGGCGGTGGCGGCGGTGGTGCCGACGGCGGCAGGGAAAGCGCAGCGGGACCGACCTCCTCCCCGCTACAAAAAGACGCCGGTTCGACGGCGGTCAAGCCCCCGCGACGACGATCTAGGAGCAGCGACGGAGCCCCCACCGCCGGGGCCCAAGCTCCCGGTGCCGGGGCGGCGTCGGCGGACGGCCTGGAAGGGTGGATCGAGCGGGCGGCGCGGGACGATGGTGTCGGTGTTGGCGGTGGTGCGGGTAGCGAGGCGTGGGAAGAGGAGGGGGAGTTCGTGCCGATGGGGGAGGACGTGGACGACGAAACCACGCTTGACGCCGAGGTGCCTGACGTGTACATGCAGTAGTAACAAATCGCTAGCAGTGAAAAACTCTACGGCCTGCCTGCCTCCCGAATGCGTCCAGGATAGCATGGATGTGCGAATATAGGGAAGCGACTTGGGCCAGGAAAACACACGCGCCCCACGCGTCTGGACCAGCATTGTTGTACTTGGGGGAAAGAGTTCATCATCCTTCGTTTCGCTTTGGAAACGACTACTCTGGTGTTCTGTGAAGGTTTAGTTTAGTTTTTCATCGATGTTTTGCTTTTAGCGACAGCAGCAGCGGCGGCGGCGGCGGCCACGCCATCGGTGTGGTGTGTCGGCTGACATCCTTCGTATGTGCACACTCTTCTGACGGGAGCAACACCAGTGTATTCGATTCCATCGCACAACGATTGCGTCCAAGTCAAGCCTGGCACCGCCCTCCCTCGGCCGCCGCTGTTGACTCCGATTTTCCATTCGCATCCAACAACCTTCTCCGTGGGCCTAAATCCATTCCGTTACTACACATTTCATGGGCATTTTGGGCTGTATTGACCTCTGGCCGTGTCCCCCTTTTCCTACGTAGGGCCCCCCCCCCCCCCACGTCACGATGTTGCAGGACGCGCTAGCGAGAGGGGCCGGAGAAGCCGTCTCCGGTGGCAGCAGCGGTGCCGGGCCCTCGTCCGCTGCTGCCGCAGAAGCGGCGGAACTGGCTCGCCTCAAGGCCGAAGCGGAGCTGCCGATCGAGGAACTGATGCGATTGTACGCCGCGCAGGATGGAGGAGGAAGAGGAGATACTGACTTTGACGACGACGACGTGTTTAGCGGCGGTGATGTGTCATCCATGGAAGAAGAAGTGGAGGAGGAGGCGGGGGCGACCGCCGCCGCCGCCGCCGCCGCCGCCGCTCAAGCGGCAGAGGAAGGCGGCGTTTCGGCCGGTGGCGGGGGTAGCACCAGCGGCGGGGGCAGCGGGGCGTCACCACCACGAAGACGGCGACAACGAGCCTCCACCGCGTTGTCAGCAACAGCTTCTGTGGTGGATAGTGCGACTCCCGGAATAGGTAGTAGCGGCAGCGGTAGTGGTGGTCGGGGGGGGGGCGTGGAGGAGGAGAAGGGGGGCGAGAGGGGAGATGGGACAGAGGAGGGGAATGATGAGAAGGAGGACGCCGAGTTTGAGTTCCGAGAAGAAGCGGACGACGAAACCACCTTAGACGCAGAGGTGAGCGAGGTTTATTCCGAGTTGGAAGGTGGAGGAGGTGCGGGTTTTGGCCACGTTGGAGTCGCGATGAGGTTGTGGTTCGACGAGTTAAGGTTGGGAGTTCGGGGTGTTGGGCAGGTGCAATAGTTGGGGTTGGCGCTACTCGCACGAAGCTGCTGCTGACAAGCGTGTTGGCAGCACGCGAGCGCTGCAACCGGAGCCCCATGGATTACGTGTATTTGTTTCGTAGACGTGTGATGTCCGTCGATGACGGCTACATCTCGAAACAGCTCGATCCGTTTTGCAGGATCAGGATTGCACGTGCTCATGATTGTATGTCTCTGAAGTACCAACAGCGCCTCCACTGTTGGAGACGAACAAGTGTGGAACCTTCAAAGCGTTGAACGTACAGCAGTCGGTCACTGGGCCGAGAGGCGTTGGATATCCGCGTTGCCCGTGTTCTTCTATCACGAAAGCGAGCACCAATCGACTTCACCGCCATACCCATCCAGAGGCGTTGGATACCCGGGTTGCTCGTGTTGTTTTAGCACGACAGCGAGCGCCAATCGACCCCACCCGCACCCAATCCCGCGCTGCACGTGCGTCTTGTTGTCGCTGTGCGCTTCAACAGGCCGCCCTTGCCGGCGACGGCGACGACGTGGCAGACGAGCTGGCGGCCCTTCGGGCGGAGGCTGACCTCCCCATCGAGGAGCTCAGGCGTCTGGCCGCGGCCGGGCACGACGGCGAGGAAGACGAGCCGTTTTCGTCTGACGGTTTCGATTCCGAACTCGACCTAGAGGGTGAAGATGACGACGCGTACAGAAGAGGGGGGGGGATCGAGGTTTCCAGGCTGCTGGATGAGGCGGCGGTGGGGGCGGGGACGGACGAGGACGAGGACGGCGACGGGGAGTACGAGGAGGAGGAGGACGGAGGGGGAGATGATGTCGACGACGAAACCACCCTGCTGGAGGAGGAGGAGCGCGCGGCGAGAGAGGGTGGCGGCGGTGATGGCGGTGCTCCCGGTGGAGGCGGGCGGGAGGGGGAGGTGAGGGTCCTATCTTGAAAGGGGAGAATTGCTCTCGAGGGTCATCATCACGGTCTTCCATGACACTGCTGCTTTTGGGTGTCATTTTCGTTTTTTTTTTGTTTCATTTTTTCCCAGCGGATACTCGATGTGGCCTTTTGACTTCCGTCCCGTGTCACCCGCGGAATAACAATCAGAGTCTCGGAAATGGCCAAAAGAACCAAACAATGTGCTGAAGAAGCGCATTTCCGTATGTGTTTGTGTGGTATGTTGCGGTTTAACTTGTAGAGAGGCAGAGGCGTGTGCCCCAAGGGAGATATATATGACCACCACGGGATTATTCCCCGAAAATCCCTGAACCAGTTGGGATGGCCACCGCTTTTTGCCACGCTCTAGTCTTTGCCAAGGGAGTGTTTGTGAGCAAATCAAAGTGTGTAACTCAATCTAGCAAAATCCTTGTGTTCCCTTTTACCCTGCCGTGGACACAGTTGAGCGCGCTAGAGGCGGATCAGCTGATCCCCGTGGAAGAGCTGCTCAAGGCTTACAACGTTGTGGCCGAGGATAGCTCCGCCCAACGCCGCCGCCCCCGTCGGGTCCGTTTCAAGCCCGGGGGGGGGGGCGGCAGCGAGGCCGGCAGCGGCAGTGGGGCTGGGAACAGCAGCGGCAGCGGTAGCGGAGGCGGGGAAGGGGAAGGGGAAGGGGAAGGGGAGGCGGGGATTGAAGGGGGTTCCGACGAAGAGAAGGATGATGACGACAGGGAGAAGGAGGGTGCTGGAGACTCGGACATGGAGGTTCAGAGCGATGATGATGATGAGGAGGAGGTGGAGGAGGAGGAGGGGAGAGGGGACGCATCGCCTGACGATGGTAAGCGGTGGGTGGGACCGCAGAATGAGATGGTTGTGCTTTTTTGCGCTGGGGTGGGCAAGGGCTCTCACTTTGTAGATACCTTGTTTTTGCACCCACCGACAATAACAATCCCGATTTACCCCCCGTGTTTTTTCCGTTTTTTATATTTTTTCAGTTTCACATGCCTCGCTTCGGCTGTCATTCGATGCGCTGGGGGTCGCTCCCACACTCCGCCGTGGTAATTACCCCCCCGACCGACCGCATGCACCGGGGACCCCTCACTTGTATTGCATTCGACGTAGAACTCCTAATATAGTAGTGGTCCCTGTGTAAGGCCGCATCATTACGGCCAGTAACCCTGCATAGCATAAGGCTGGAACAAATGGCGTGAGACACGGGGAAAATCCCGGTACGAGGGCGACCGAATGTCTCGGTACGTTGCGGCCTTGTATGTACACGCGCTTCACGAGATTGAACCAAGATGGCGTACAAATTCGGTCTCAGTTTCTGCCAGGACCCCTGGTGCTAGCGTAGCGGGTGTAAGGGCCAATGATAAGCACACGCGCAGCACGGGGTCCTGTATATGCTATCAGGAAGTTGTTTTGAGATGAATGTCAGGATTCACCACTGATTTATTTGTGCTGCTGAGTATTACGTTAGCCTGTTTTGCGTACGCTGAATCACGCGTTGGCGTTTTTTGTTGTTTGTCGTGTTGGCGCACGCACCGCAATGACGTGGTGATAACGCCCAGATTGGGAAAAAGTTGGGTGGGCAAGGCAGAGAGGTCGCCTGATTCCACAGAAACGGTAGCACATGCACGCCGGACGACCGCAACAGCAACAGACATCCACCACATTAACATCAACAACAGCAACATTATCATCACCACCACCACCAACAACAACAACAACAACAACCACCACAACCGCAGCCGACGACGCGCTGCGGCGGCTGGAGGAGGCCGACGAAGCCGCCAGGGCCGTCCGCGTCCCCCGCCCGTTCCTGCTGGCGAAGTCCCTCCGCCTGAGAGAGTACCAGCACGCCGGGCTGTCGTGGCTCGTGTCCCTCCACGAGAGAAGGCTGAACGGAATCCTCGCGGACGAGATGGGGCTCGGGAAGACGGTGCAGACCATCTCTCTCCTGGCGTACCTGGCCTGCCACAAGGTACTTGTATGCTAGGTTTTTCTCGCAAGTGGGGTACGTGTAGCGGGATTCCTGACGCCCTGCGCCAAGCTGGATTCAGGGCCAACCCGATTGTTTTTTCGTGGGGGGGGGGGGGGGGGGGGTCCCCAGGGGGGGGAAGAA